TTTTTTAAAATTAAATTATCTTGTAAATAAACTAACTGTTTAATCTTTTCTCATTTTATTTTTTTGAGATAAGAAGGTATGTAAAGTTATCATTTAAGGTCCATTTGTTTTGACATAAAATATTTTCTGAAAAATATTTTTAGGACTTATGCTTGTTTGCAAGACAAAAAATTTATTTCAAATATAAAACATTTTACGGGTTAATGGAAAAAACAACTATTAACCACGGAAAATGTCTTACACCTTTGTCGGCTTAAGACATTTTCTAGAGGTTTTCAGAGAAAAAAAAAACTCTTATATTAAGCCTAAGAATATAAGTTTGATGAATATTAATATTTAATTTAAAATATTAAAAATTAAAAATATATTAATATTTAATTTAAAATATTAATATTCAAATTATTCAGTACTATTAAAAATAAAAAATATTTTTCAATGAAATCATTCAATGCAATTAAATTTGTAGTTTATAAATTGAATAAATCTTATTAATAATTATAATAAAAAAATATTTCAATCATGGTCATATGATAAATACACATCAATATAGGTTTTAGATGTCTTATACAATTGATGAATATTAATATTTTTATAGTGTTATGGTAAAAAAGTGACGAGATAGAAAATTTGTTAAAATTAGAGTATACTTTAATTATAAAGATGTGGTTATATATTTTGGAAAATTTCATTATTGATTTTGCCTATTTTCATGTACATTCTTAATTTTGATCCAAATTAGTAAAAACCAAATAACACCATTGCTTTGTAATCTAACTCTTATTTATCATCTTAACACCCAAATATTAAATTGAAAAAATGTTTTCGATAATTTTAGCAAATAACAAAAAAATATTAAATTTTTCTATAAAATATTTTACATTGAAAAAGGTTTTTCCAAACAAGTTATTTTTCGGTTACCTAAGGACTCTAATGAGAAAAAAAATTTACATCCACAATAACACGTGAGAACAATTACAGGTTGCCCTTGATGAACTAGGCTCCACTTAGGGATAATCTTCTTTTGTTTTTTTTTTTTTCATTTTTAGCTAAATGTTACTAGTTTCTTATTAATTGCGACAATCACAACTTTCTTAAAATTTTTTGTTTAGATTCTAGTTGAAGTTATGCCAAGAACTTTATTCAATATTTTATCTTAATAAAACATCGATTAAAAATAATTTCAAATAATATTTTGACATAATAAAATCTCATAATTATTACAATTTATAAATCCTTTTGTAGAGCATGTTTATTCAATGGAATTTATCTTTATAAGTATATGTAAACTTATAAATGTGTAGAAAAAATGCTTTTACTAACTAAATGTAATGCATGACGTAGTAAGGATATATTTCATACCCAACCTATTGGCTATAAGGCATACTAAAGTTTTAATACTTTTGGCACTTTAAGAGATTAGTCTTTGAAAAGTTAGGAGTTGTTTATCGAGATTTTTTAACTATAATTTAGTTTTGTGGTAGTTTAGTTGTTTAAACTTTGCTTACTCTATTACTTGATAATTAAGGATGAGGGAATGTTGAGATAGATATCATAAGTTAAAGTCATACTTGCTAGGATTCGATCTCATACTCAAACATGAAATTAATCAAAAAATTAAAAATATAATACAGTAAAAAAATAAATTAGCATTTAATTCGAAAACAACAAAATTTTGCAATATCAATGTTTGTACTTTTATGTAATTTTCAAATTAATTATGAATACTAATAAGTTTAAGAGCTACATATCTTACTTTAGATATCGTAATCAAGAACTAATTAAATTCAAAAGACTTTTGATGAAGCAAGAAACTCGAAACAAGAATTAAGACGATCTAAAATCCTATAACTGAAACCTTTACTTCTTCATCTTTAGAATTTGTCAAATCTTCAACCACCCAAGTATTTAACTTCTAACAATAATCCTCACGGTGACTAAATAAGATTTTTTCAAAGTTAGGATTTTACGTAAAGTTTGTTTCTAAAACAAAAGGATTAATTTTTTTTTTGCCGAATTTTGTTCTATAAGACAAAGAAAACTATTTTACTTTTCTTATTTTTTTGAAACGGCTAAGAAGTAGTTTGAGGGTTATAGTTTTAGTTGACTAATATAATATATATATATAACCAAACAAATTATAACCCTAGATATAACATTTGTATTTTAATTCAATTAAATCTTTGTGAACTTAACTAATTTTTTACTTTATTTTGGTCTATTTCAATTATCCAACTTAATTAATTATCTTTATTTAATCTCAATCATGTCACTTAATGTGTGTAACCTATTAGGCTTTTAACATGTTAGTAATAAATATAAATTCTAATCAAATATCAATTTGATAATTAATTTATATTTATAGATAATGAGCGACATCTAGCAATATATCATAACTACCTAAATGTTAATTAGTCAATTAAATAATTTGACAAACCCTTTTAGTGATAAGCCTCTCAGTACAATACGGTTCTTTCATCAAGTATCTCGGATATGTCATAAAACATGGTTCAGTGTCTATCTATAACATTCTATATTAGTTCTCATAATTCATGATTAACTTTATAAATTTAGGAAACTAACTTTTCTTAAATTCATCATACTTTGGTTAAAAACTATATACAAGTTAATCAAGAAGTGAGAACAGTGAGATAATCCCCTCATGTCACTTAGGGTGATAAATTCTCTCTTGACCACTCATTCACCTTCGCATGCTTCATGACATATCCAAAAACACTTTGTTTAGGTATCTGTCACCTCCAGACTCGTAGAGGTAAAATCAAAGCATGTCATTCATCATACAAGATAACATTATGCCTCAAGTTTGAGGACTAGTTACACGACTATCACATGAAAATATATTCCATAAACACTTGAGTGAAACGCCAAATGGAATTCTCATTGTAAGTCATATTTAGTGAACTTGTTTTTTAACAAGCACTCACATGCTATCCTTAAGTATTCCAATATACTTCAATCTATGAGATCAGTTGCTTACTTACCAAATAAGGAGGCTTAACATGTACCAATCTTTGAGTATTGTCAATGACTTGTCTTGATAATATAATGACCAAAAACAATTTTAGGAATATGACTTTGATGTATAGTGATCTCATAATTGTAACAACTTTGCATTTATAAGGCTTTTATGTTCCATAGGCTTCATCCAATTAATACTTAATAACTTCTGTTATTGCACTAATATGAAAAAAAACTTTTATCACATGTAGTTATGTGATTAAGTATGTATTAAAAAATAATATATATTGCTTGACCAATTCAATTTACTCAAGGACATATACTAACAACAATATTATGCATAATATATAAAAAATTTTCTAAACTATTTTAGAAAATTCAAATAAGCCTTTATACTTTTATTGCATTTAATTAAGTCCTTATACTTTATTTTGAATCAAATAAGCCATTTTACTTTTATTTTGAGTTAAATAAGTCTTTATTACTAATGATTGACTTGTCAAAATCTCACTTATTATTTTATAGCACATGATATTGACGTCGCATGTTAATATATCATAATTAATGATGATATGATATGCTGACATATCATAATTAATAATTATATGACATACTAATTTGGTATAATAACAGGACTATGTATCATTTTTCACCATCTATATCAACGTCTCAGTCTCAAGTAGATATAAAATGATAAGTGAAATTTTGATCAATGACAATTAGTTAATCATTAGCTATAAAGCTTATTTGATCCAAAATAAAAATATAAGAGTTTGATTGAACGCAATAAAAGAATACGGACTTATTTGAATATTCTCGAATAGTTTAGGAGCTTATTTGAGTATTATGTCTAATATTATTATTTTAAAAAGAAAAAAAAAGAACTCTTATATATATATATATATATGTATGTATGAACTTTTAACTCATTACCATAACAAGTAGAAGAATTTTATTTCATTTAAACTTTTTTATAAATTTGTACAAAAAAGAAGTTGTTATTGGTTTTGGCTTTCCTAGATTTCACTATCTGAGGAAGAACTTAAGAAATTAAGAAGCCATTTTCATCTTCTCTTAAGATCCATTACAAGGTCCATTGCCGTAGCCCATAATAGCTTCCGATTAAATTACTTTACATGCTACTTTTGTTGGCAGTCACAGTCACAAAGAACTTATAGAGTGGATTAAAATGTTTTATCACCTAGAACTTTGAACTTGTCCAAACATTTCATAAGCCTTAGAAAATGCACTTAATCATGGTTACATCATCATCTCTCTCAACAAGCACTCTCCCAAGTCTCTCTTACAAGTCATAAACTTGTTTCCCCGTGAACTTAACTTCAATGGGACTCACATTCTTCCCAATTGATCTGAAGTTCTGCCCCACTCCTTGACGACCAGGGTTCACTTTCTCAGGATAAACTCCATCTTTGGGGTGAAGATATTGAACCTCACCATTGGGGAAAACCCTATAAAACTGGTAGTCGATCTTGTACTTAGACCTCAGTCTGGTACCGAGCGCCAAGCACTGCTCTTTCCTGGCCAACTTGAGCAAGTTAGGTCCTTGCCTCATGATGGCTGCGCCTCCAGTTGGCATCTCAAAGATTAGTTCTTTGGGTGAATCACATGTGATGACGTAGAATTCTTCAACCTGGGCCTTTCTTAGCAGCCCTCCCGTGCTTCCTGCAAAAATGGGTGATGGGGTGTTTGGGTCCAATTCGGGAGGGGTGAAACCCACGGGAGCTTCTTCCTTCGTGGCAGCCTCCTGATCTGCAACTGCAGCCCTAATGGTTCTGTGAGCCATGGAGAGGTTGAGGGACTTGGAGGTAGCGAATGAAAATGACGAGGATGGCTTCCATGGCACCAGGGATTTCGGGGTGGTGATTGTGGGGGTGAAGAGGCCTGCTTGCGTTGCCATGGCGATGTAGATGATGGATGTTGAGCTGCAGTAGGAGTTTCTTTTTGTTGGTGTTTATGGAGGGTTTTGTCTTGGAAATTTGTGTGATGGATCACGAAAGAGGATGATTTTAGACAGATGGCGGTGTTTGGATTTGGATCTTTGGATAGGTTGATATTACTTGGACCAATAGGATGCTTGGTCTAGCCGAGTCTCGTACTTACTTTTTCCATATCCGATGAATTTTTTTTTCCTTTTAATATCCACCCCACCGTACAGTCCGCAATAAGTCCTACCTTAGTTAATATTGGCGAGAAACAAGCGTCAGCAGTTCTGGCTCGATAGCTAGTGCTTTACGCCGTGGTTGGTCTTACATACTTCAATAAGCTTTGCTCCTCTCGCGCTATGCCCAAACAATGAAAGAGCTTCCAGAGGCACTCAAAAATTTCCATATGTTACAGTTGGAAATTTTTCATATATATAGCTTCCGTTAACTAAACTAAACTAAATTATATATATATATATATATATATATATATATAGTTCTAAACAATGCTTCCCTGAGTCTAGCCATGATGTGTTCTTAACAGTAACACATTCAAGCATATTGTTTACATAAAACATCGTGTAAATGATAACTAGCTTTCCTTTGGAGCAGGCATTAACTTAAGCCTCTCATCTGCGGAACTAACCCCAGAAACCTCTTCTGCTAGCAGTGACTGTAAGTCACTACCATTAGCCAAACTGTTGAACTCAACTGCTTTAGATGGAAGGGTAGGATAACGTCGTTGGCAAAAGGTCATTAATCTTTTGATTGACTGCAGGTATTTGCGAGTTGTCTCATCATTCATTATGTGGGCAACACTATTAGTGTAGATCTTCTCACGAGCTGAACGTTCATGGATACCAACCATAGTGACACCAATTGGCCAGGGTGCATTACCAATAGCTAACTTAATGTACTGATCCATAGCAGCCAGGTAGTCCCGCTTCATGCAGCACTCAACCACTACCAATAATGCTTGACGGATATCATCTGGAAGAACCTGTCATTAGAACATACCAATTAAATATGGGGTTTCATAAATGCAAAGTTCTCTGTGCAAAGTCAAAACACACACACACACACACACACACACAAGTGCAGATGTAGATACACACAGAGAGAGGATACCCAAGTACATAGTGCAATGTCTTCACTTTATATTCACTTTGTCACAGAGAAGGGAACACTTATAATTGATAATATGCATGTTCATAGCATTGGCACTCAGTCATATGTTAGAGTGATAACTTCATAACATCCAGCACAGCATGAGAGTCATCTTGTGAATGAATCATACTGAAGCGGCATGTGCTTTCAGAGCTTAAAAGTAAAACATTCGATTACGGAAGAGAAACTACAGGTTTACTTGGTGACTTAAATTTATCAGCAACAGGGAGCAATCCACCCAGACGAAAGCTGTAGAGCATGCTTTGGCTTTAAATCGACTAGAAAGCAGGCAGTAAAAATAAAATAATTGAGCTGTGAAACATGGTTGACATAACCTTCATATAAGATGAATTTCCTATCTGATTAGACAGTTAATTGACTGTTTAACAAAATATCATCTGAAAAATTTTTGCATGAGGAATTAATCAGCTAATACTTATGCTAGATGTTATATGAACTTTTTACCACATTAACAAGTTTAAAACTCTCTCAATTAGCCTAGAACCCACATTCAGCAAAATCAGAATTTACAGATCATCAACATGATTTGGTGTTGGTAGATTCAGAGCTTGTTCTTTCTTTCTTCCAAATTCCCCACCCCTAGCAGCTATTTGAGTGCTTAAAGGGAATAAATCAAAAAAAGAAAAGAAAAGAATGAGAGACAGGTAGAAAAACTCTGCCTGAATGTATTTCATTACCAAAAGACTGGTGATTCTACTAAGAATATGAGAATAAATTTAATAACCCTCATAAATATCCAAAGATATTCAGATACCAGTCACCACTTTGATCACAAACATTCCAACTTGAATTCAAGAAAAGGGCACCTGTAGCTAGCACATAGTAGCTATGGTTCAACTCATTGCTTTCTACAATCTCATCCATCTCTAGCCCCATAGATTTAGCAGACAGAACAGAACATCTCACAATGTTGAACAAAGTCAGTTTTACAGGCAAATACGAGTCTTGTACCTCCCATCTTGATTTCTAATAACTAGTTTTAATCACCCATTCTCAACGATTCCATTTTCATTTGAAGGAAAATTTTAATTCTTTAACTTAGAGCTCCTATTCTCTACCATTTAACAAGTTAACATTCAACAAAAAAGATTAAAAAAAGTGAAATCTTTTAAATCATCAAATATAACTTACCTTCTTCCGACAAAACTTGAACAATGGATTTAAATACCGGGCGCACTGCTTGAACGTGGCAACCATGGACTTCCCCTTCGCAGTCCTCTTCTCAGCCTCACCCATCTCAGCCAGCTCCTGGTTCCACTCATTCAACAACCTCTTGAAAAACACCAGAATCCTATCTTCATCACATAACTCATCGAAATTCGCCTTCATTCTTTTCAAATCCTTATCCAAATCGACTCCACTGGACCCACCATCACCACTCAACTCCTCTTCTCCTCCACCTCCTTCCCCATCCTCTCCTCCTCCCCCTTCTTCCCTATCCTTTCTCTTCCTCTCGCTCAACATCCCCGTCTTCTGCCGCTTCCGCAGCTCCGCAATGTCTCTCAAGAAATCATTGGTTTGACCCTCGGTCATATCGCTATCAACCTCGAAAAGCCCGGCTTTTAAGACGTATTTTAACCTGTCAAGACGAGCTGCGTCGTCTTCGCCAAAGAGAGTGATTGGCTGTTTGAGGAAGCGGAGGCGCCGGATGACTTCTTGCCTTGGAAGGTCGAGGTTGTCGATGTTTTGTTCATCGGTGAGGGATTTGGAGGAACCGGCGGTGGAAGTTGCGGTCGTGGATGCCGTGCTGGAAGCGGATGGATTTGATTTGGCGGAAGTGGCGTTGGTGGTGGAGGAGGATGTGGAGGATTGGCGGCGAGATTTAGATTCGAGTTCGCGTTTCTCTTGCTCGCGAAGCTTTTGGATTTGCTTTTGTTCGATTTCGGATCGTTTGAAGACACGCTTGCCGCCGGTCTCCTGAGCTAGGCTCTGCCGTTTCTTAAGAAGTTCTTGTTTGAGGAGATCCATCTCTAGGGTTTGATTACAATATTGCCCGAGACTTGATCTGGGTTTGAGATTCGACGAAGATCATGATGACGGTTAGGGTGGATCAACTTGCGCTCGTTTTGTTTCGGTTATTGACTGCCGGGTGGACATTGAAATAGACCCGGGTTGGCCCAAATTATATATTTTAAAAATTGGCCAGGAGAGAAGTTGTTGGATTCCTAGTCCAAACCAACCATGTGACCTACGAGGCCCAATCCAGTCTATTAACGCCCACTGGTTAGAATCCAAAGAACCCACTTTTCGTACACCCTGCCAGACTGACTTCCGAACCACCATTCTGCTGCCCTGCGTTTCATACGGCTTCCTCCAGTCCCGCCAGCCCGAGACGGAGAGAAGAGCGAGGACAGATATGACGACGATTCGCAGATTTTGCTGCAATGATCTTCTTCGTTTCGCTTCCGTCAACCTCGACCACTTAACTGAAACAGTAAGCTTTTTAACTCTTTTCCTTTTATTTTTAAAAAAGTTCGAACAATAGTCTGACGAGTTCTAAATTGTTTCCATTAATGGTAATTTTTTGATTTCTACAGTTTAACATGTCATTCTACATGACCTATTTAGCTCGATGGCCGGATTATTTTCATGTAGCTGAGGGCCCCGGCAAACGTATCATGGGTTACAGTATGCTCTCTGCTCTCTCTATCCTAATTATATTTTCCATTTTCATTTTTTTTGAATTAGATTAAAATTTACAAGAATCTGATTAGGGATTTATTATATTCTTGTTACTGCTGAAAAGTTAATCAGGAATTAACTCTCAGAATTTGAAAACAATAATCAAGTTCCAATTCTGATGTTCATTGCCTTCTGTAATTAATTTATTACGATAAGCAATTAGAATAACAGTTTTTCAGAAGTTGGTCATGTTCAAGATTTCATTTGAACAGGGAAATGCTTCTTATCAACTATGCTCTTTTGAGATTATGTTTCTAGATTTAATTCCTTCGAAATTGTTGCAGTTATGGGAAAAGTTGAGGGGCAAGGTGAGTCTTGGCATGGCCATGTAACGGCAGTCACTGTAGCACCGGAATATCGCAGGCAGCAGCTTGCTAAGAAACTGATGAACCTTTTGGAAGACATCAGCGATAAAATGTAAGAGTGGTTTACATTTAATGTCTAATTTATTTCCGATATCTCTCTATCAAGTAAATTATTTTGTTAGCTTCTCCTTAATGTATTTGTGTCGCCAATATCTCATATTTCTGGTATTCATGCTAAATTATATCTTCACTATGACCATGACTCTATCATTGCTGATGTGAAGCATTGCATAGTGAATGAGAAAAATGAGATTCTAGTATATTATAACATCTATCCTATATTGTGGTGTTATGGATATTTGCACAATTTATTGGTGTACTTTTGTTAGCAGTTTGTGCCTTGATACAAGGGTCTTAATGCTTCCATTGCACCTTGAGAATCTTTGACTACACTGGTTATTCTCACTTTGTCTTAGGAGGTCTTAACTTGGCACTGATTTGACTGACACAAATATCTAGGTTCTTTTGTTTGATGTGAACTTCTAAAATAGTTGTAAGGTTCATTTGTAAATTTCTTGGATGAAAATTATACAGGGTTCTGGACACAAGCTATGATTTTTACTAAAACGATAAAGGTGAAGTATCGACACAAGCACAGTCATTAGCTTCATCTGATCTTTTTGTATAGGAAATCTTCATTTGAAACTAACCTTAACCCATTGAAAAGGGTTCTGGTTTTCTTATTTCTTTTAATATTTTTATACCTTGTTTGTTTCTAGCTTTGACATTGATTACATTGTGCTTGATAAAATTTTTATCTTGCTAAGTATTTTTCCTTCAGTCAATTTTGCGTGACATTGACATAAGCGAGGCCTTGGATAACATGCATGATAATTTCTTTGTTTATTACATGCTAGTGTTATTAGATTAAATATCTGGCTCACCTTTCTTACATGTAATTGACTGAAAAGAAACATCACTATAACATGCCTAGTACTAATGTTTCCCTGATGCATTCTGTAGTTTCCTTTTCAGTATTTGTATTCTTGTTCTCTCCTCTGTCATCAGTAAGAAATATCTTTTGGCAGTGATAAGGCATACTTTGTGGATCTTTTTGTGAGGGCCTCTAATACTCCAGCCATAAAGATGTATGAAAAGGTAATAGTTCTATAACTTCAGATTCTTTTTCTCTGTCTCGCAATCTCATTTTTCCCTTGTCAGTGATTATGTATCAAATTTTGGTGTCTAACCATGCTTGTTCAGAAATATGATGTGTGTTTGTGTGTATTTGATGTTTGTTAAAATGTTTGATTTGGTAAAGCTTGGAAACAAGGCTAGCATGCACACTGTTCATAACTATACACTAGTGGGTAACAGCAAGTGGAATCCAGGATCTTAAGAAACCATTTTAAATAGCTATTTATAATGCTACTAGATAGTTGGCATTTGTCCTTCATCCTGGCCTTGAATTCAGTTCATAGCTAAATAAGGTGCTCTGTTGTAGTTCCCCGTCAGCTCCAGTCTTGTTTTCCAATCTTTGGTCTTTGTATGCACGTTTGTTTCTGGTCCATGTTCCTTGGCAATGAGTTTGGTTTTTAATGTTGCACAAGAGGATGGAATTGATCAGGTTGAGTAATGGTCAAGTGAGTGGGATGGAGCAACCCATGAGATTCCAAAAGTTTTGAGAGTTTGTTTAGACTTTAGAGTATAAAGCTGCTAAAAGATTCATAAATTGTGTCCACTACTGAGATTTTTGAACCAAACTCCACCAAGTGTGAATTCACAGGTTGGAAGAAGAGATGTTTGTTCCAGTGTATTAATGATTTCTTCATCATGGCATGACAGATTAAAAAAAGGAAGACAGAAATAGGTAAATTTTGAAGAAAAAAAATTGCTCAGATTTTATGTCTAAAGCATCCTTTATTTGAGTTCACTCTAAATTAAAAAACTCAGGATTGCATTGTTTTGGTCTTTTATCTCATCAGAATTCAGATTGATGTTAAAGCTTTTGCTTTGGTTTTGAGAATAGCATGAGTATTGTTATACTTTTAAGTCCAATTTTTCATTGTGATGTGGTATAAAATTGCAATATTTTTATCTTTCTGTTAGATTAATTAAATGAGTACTTTAATTCACGCTTATCTGGTCATTATCTGAAAGAAGATTGTCTGATTCTCATGTTATGGTAAGCTATTAAATAAAGAGTATATCTAGTTAAATTCAAAACTATTATTGTTATATGATATTGTCCCATCTTCAGTCTCAAGTAAGCTGGGTCTGCCTTTGTAGTATTAGCATGTGGCTTAGCACTTTATATGTTTTGAAATTGAACTCTATCATATTTTCAAAAAAAAAAAATTTGGTTTCCCTCCTAAAGGAGTTTCTAGTTTTGGAGAAGTCTTTTTGAAAGCCCTGCCGATACACGTTTCTTGAAAATCTCAACCACCTCAACGTGCATCATTCCAAAGTGCCAAGCAACCTGTTTCATTCCTTAGTATTAGTTCCTTGCTAACAAGGTGTTGCATCTATATTGCCAGGGGATGAATTCTGGATCTTGTTGATTTTGGTTGTCCCTTGTCAAAAGTAGTAGCCAGTAGTTAGTTCCTAGTTGTCAAAATCATTTTTCTTATTAACTAATAAGTTTGAAAGTAGATAATTGCAGGTTCTAAGTGATGGCCTGTATTTTGGAGGTTCTTTTCTGATTTTAGTCCTGTTTGGCCTAGCTTTTTTCTAGCTTAAAAGCTATTATGAAGCTCTTATGAAATATAATAGCTTTTAGAATTAAGCTGAGTTGTTTGGTAAGTTTTTTTTTATAAGTTATAATTTTGGTTAAAATTATCATAAAAGATTTTTTTTGAGAGGGTAATATTGTAATTATTTTTAACAGATGAGGATATTTTTGAAATAAAAAAAAAATTTCTTGTATTTTTAAAAAAAGAGAAGAAAAAGCTCCTCATAGGAGCTTTTGCTGAAGCTCTTTTTTTAAAAATTTTATTTAAAAAAAAAGTTACTTTTTTTAAGAGCTTTTTAAAATTTATGTTTAACTTGATTTTTATTTTTAAAAGATAGATAAGTTGAAAAAAAATCAGGCCAAACAAGCACTAAATGTATCAAAAAATAGCCTTCACGACGTTTTCTACCTAGTTGAATGTCAGAAATGTGTTATTAATGGGCATATTTGCTCATTTTTGTCTCAAGATTCAACTTTATTGTTGAATTTAGACATAATGCTCAAATAAGCCCCTAAACTATTAAAAAAAAAAATCAAATACGGCTTATTCTTGTATTGCGTTCAATCAAGTCCTTGTATTTTTATTTTAGGTCAAATAATAACTAATGGCACTAATGATTGATTAATTGCCATTAGTCAAAATGCCACTTATCATTTTATATCCTCATGACATTGATGTGGAGGGTAAAAAATTCCACATAGTCATGTTATCAAATCAAATTAGCATGTCATATTATCATCAATTATAATATGTTAACATGTCACATCATTATCAATTATGATATATAACATGCTACGTTAGTACCATGCAACATAAAATGACAAATGGCATTTTGACTAAGTTAATTATTAGTCATAATGGCTTATTTGATTCAAAATAAAAGTATAAGGGCTTATTTGACTAAGAAAAGTATAAGGATTTGATTAAATGCATAAAAAGTATAACGGTTTATTTAAATTTTTTTGAATAGTTTAGGGGTTTTTTTAAATATCATGTCTTGAATTTAACTCCACATAGCTTATAATGCATATTTTAGTGATTACTGATGAATATATAGTTTTCTTGAGCACTTTCTTCATATGGATTATTTTAATGTCAAGTAAACTAAGAACATATATATTGATGATATTCCTAATAACAAATTTTATTTATGTATATATAGACACACAACCCTGCGTTGACGAACATCTTTACTGTATGCAACACAAATGTTTACCTATATTAGGATTTATGAATCTGACGTCAGAAAAGCAACAAGATTAGGGCACATTGCAAGTTCCACTTGTTGTGATCTTAAGTAAAGAGTTATACAATGAACTTTATTTACATTTGCTAACATTCTTCTATTTCTTTTACCAAATAAATGAAAGTTATAGAATAAAGTAGTTCATGAAGAATTTCATAGATCTCTAGTTCTCTCTGTATTATTTCTATTTTCAAATCTCCAAATGTAATTGATGACATTTTCTGATAAAGAATATTAGAGGGATGAGGAGTATCATCTTTAAGCTGTAAATAAAAAATAGGTTATAGCAGTAAGTAGTTCTCTCTGTAATTGCAACTTTCCTATTTCATGATGTATGTATGAGGCCCAGACATATATGAACTAGTCCAATATGTTCTCTTGTGATCCCTCCACTCTGTTTTCACATCTTTGATGTTAATTTGCTTTTTTTTTTTTTGCAAGAAAATCTGTCCCATGTCATACTTGCAGACAGAGGAGATGTATTCTTTCCCATAAAGCTTTGTGCTTGGTGTATATTATTAAATATTTTGTCATTTTTAAAATTAATTTAGGTTCCTTATTAGGTCTAATTTCTAAATTAGGACACTGCTTTCCCTTTTTCTTCTCAACTACTCTATCTCATTGCTCACTCTATTTTGTGTTGACGACATGCTGGAATGTTTTTTAGGCTGCTTGATAATTTGTTGTATATCAAGGGAACTGTTTTTCTGGCAAGGCTTGAATTTCTGGAACTCCCTTTTCTTCTAATTTCAACATCTATTCCTGTTTGTTGTTAGATGATTAAATTTTTGCTTGTACTTAAACCTAGGAATCTTTGAATCTTATCTATGCCTTTTCCTTTCAGATGGTAGCCAAAAGGAAGTGGTTAGGTTGTCAGTTTGGAAGGGAACTCCTAACTTCATACAAGTCTGCTGCTGATGGGCAATTTTATTTGGAAAATTCATTCTTTTGTCATCAAATTATCCTAACTGTATTGAATTGGATTGAGGGCATTTGAATAGGAAGTCGTAATGTCCACCACTTCAGTGCAATGTCATTAGTCAGTCAAAGTTACCTTCAGATCAACTAGGGGCACTTAAATGCAAAATCTTGCAGCAATTAAAATTTGCATTTGCTGTATGGTACACACTTTCTCACCAAAGTGTTCCATACCTCCACCCTGTTTCTCTCTTTCATTTCACCATTAATACAAGTTGACACCATTGATTGACTGGATTTTGGATTGTTGATTCGGCTGCCTGCCATGTTTCTCCTTCTCAAGTGAACTTCTATTAACCCTCCAACAGCCTAGTTTGTATTGCTAGTAATAAATCTGTACCTGTTCATGATGAGGAACTAGGGGACTATGTTCATTAAACCAGTTTGTTTGCATGGAAACAATGCTTCCCAAGGTGTCAGATTCATGATGATGCTCTCTCTCTTTCTTTCTCATGTGTGCATATGTTTGTGTTTGTGATCATGTGTATAAATGGAAAAAGTGTTCAATAACCTTTTTTATTTGCAGCTTGGGTATGTAATATACCGAAGGGTGTTGCGCTATTACTCAGGAGAGGAAGATGGGTTAGGTAAGTGGGTTTCGATTTCCAACCAGAATATTACTTTTCTCTTTTTGGGTCTACATATATTGCCGCTTTACCTTCCATTTTGGTGGTTTGTCTTCAGATATGAGGAAAGCATTATCTAGAGATATTGAAAAGAAATCAATCATCCCCCTCAAACGGCCAGTTACGCCAGATGAGTTGGAGTATGATTAGATCCAGTTTCTATGGAATTTTGGAATTTCTGTCACCCGTTTTTCTTGAAATGCAGAGATTGGGAATCAGAGAGCTTTAGGTATGTCAAAAGTTGAGATCCAAGAACAGATTATTAGTAACGAATGGTTCAGTGTTCTCTACGTGGTTGTAAGCGTTATCTTTCGTTGTACCTTGTATTTTTGTAACACTTCAATTATGCTGTTATAAAGTCCTGTCCTTTTCTGCAATACTCTTGTATTTTCCGTTTCAAAATGACTCTAGCTTTGCAATGTTAATGATTAGACGTGCGTGTTGATCTGTTATATACCCAGCTGTGCTTTGCATATTTGTAAAGCTCGGATAAGATTCTTAAGGCTCCCCTTTAAGCGAGCATATCAAGGACAAGCACTTTGTGGATGTTCAAGTGTGTTCATAACAGGTAGATGCCAATGGTTGGCTTGAAGCGTAGACTCACAGCATTGTGGGGCACAGCCATAAAAAACATGGAAGGCAACTCTTGAGTAAAATTTTGCAAGCAAAAAAGTAGGTTGGTAAGAGTGGTATAGATATAGCTGTGAAACATGGACAATTTTTTGACAGGACCAAAGTTACTTATCCAAACAGAGTAAATGGTTTTTGTGGTCGAAATTCGGGCAACAATGGTGGAGGCCCCAGGATGAAGCTCGCCATAAGTTAGTGTTCTCGGGGAGATGGGTCCCGTCTCATCTGCATGTTCGCCGCTTGGACGGCAAAGAAACAAGCAAGATCTGAGGCTCACGGGCCCTCTTATGATTCAACAAGATTTATGAAGTTGCGGATCAGACATTGGTGGATCATTACTAAAATGGGTTTTCGTCCAAACGAGGGTTCACTGATTCCTGCTTTTGTATCGATTCTTGCTTTGCTCCGCTTTGTTTTATTTTCCATTGAAATTCGTCCATATCGTTGTTTTGGTAGCCAACATGGCCATGGAGGAATAATTCCTAACTTTAACTCCATGCTGTCAATCCCTCTGGCTCTGCCCTGTTGCTTTCTCTTTTCATGATTCCAGAAAATGCCAAACAAACGAAAGAGGTGATGATGCCAACCAACTCAAATGGATTTGTGTCGCATGCGTAGTCCTATACCTGTTCCTATATTTGAGCCTGCCCATGTCAATTTCCAGGTGTTCTGTTCCGTGCAAATTATTTGACCTGGATCCTGCTGTGGGGTTTGTAATCCCTTTGATTATTACTCTTGTGGTCCTGCTCCTACTTGCTGCCCCTTAATTAGGCCCCATGTTGTTAGGCTGTATTTTTCAGCATATTTCAAAGGTTTATATTATAGAAAAAATTTTCACATTTAATTACGTTTTATATTGTTAATTACGATAATATTAATATTAATTTAATTGAAAAAAATACAGCACAATTAACTGCAAATGACAAATTTTAAAACTCATAGGGTAAATATATTGCACCTACTACTAGTTTTTTTATTATTTATCCTCTTGGAAAATGTGAGGCAATCTTAAATATATACTCCAGACACAATTGATATTCCTGAATTAGTTAATTGAGTGCTTTAATTAGTAGTATTTTGCCCTTTCTTTTCATGAAATTGAAGACTCAAAACTCTTTTTTTTTTTTTTCATTCGAAAAGAAATAGGAATGACAATAATTTAGAGGTATTCAAACCCAAACTCAATCGAAATTAAACTAGTCATACTTTATTCGAACCCGATTAAAAATCAACATTTAATACCAACATTTGATTATTAATATTCATGAAAAAATTTGAATTCAAACTCAAAATAAAAAATAAAGTTAAAATCAATTTATATATATATTATTAATAAAAAATAAATTAATAAATTAAAATTAACTCATAAAAAATAAATTAAAACTTAAATCATATCTGAAACAATTAATGAATCTTAGTAGGTATCAAATTGATTAAAGTAATTTATAAACAAACGAAAAAAATAATATATAAAACTTAAATTTAGTATTACAAATTATTATATTTATGATTGGGTTTGGAGACTGTTTATCCTGTAACTATTCCTCTAATCCGTGAAGATTAGTAGTTTTACTAAGCAAACCGTCTAGAACTCAATTAATATGATATCTTAAAATCCTATTTAATTAGGTCGAATAATACAAAATACGCATTATAAAGTACCCATTACATCTCTAAGAAAAAAAAAATGTGGGATTAGTAACCAGATAATGTTATTAGGTCAAGCATTTTGCTTAATGTGAAGATTTTTACAAGTTCAACCAACATCTTTTAGTTGTAGTTAGTTGGAGAAGGCACAAATGATGGAGGTAAGATAGTACAATATAACTTATCTTGTTAAACACCCCAATCCAATAGAAATAAGGCTCGCATTACTCAACAAGATGACGTTCATAATCTGATTTTCATACCATAATTATTCCCAACACTGATTAATGACACGAAATTAAGAGCAGCAATGTTGATTATTGGGACCTGGAGACAAACCAAAATGTGGTAATAGCATTACAAAGTGTGTGAAAAGCCATCGAAGGTGGAGGAGGTTCTGATTTTTGAATTTCCACCAGATCATGTTAAAAGGAGCACCAACCTTGCCATGTCTGCCATTTTTGGCTATACTTTAGGAGAAGGCATTATCTCAAAAAAAAGCCCAAAGGAGGTGAAACAATTTAATGTGGTTGACTATTTGTACCCACTATCTAAAATTTCTACAGATTTCTCTTGTTTTCTTGTGGGCTGGTCAATCAGTAAAAATGTTGTGATTGCTTTGTCACCTAGGCTTAAATCTTGGTTTGGTTCCTAGGAACAACGATTTGTCTTTTTGTCTTGAGCATTCTTGTCAAGGTAAAATTGAGTTGGATAGGAAGCACTCGTCGCCAATCAATGTGTCTAATTGTTGTCTTGATCTCAACGCTAGCTACATAGGATCTCACTATGAGACCACAATTATGCAAGTGTCTTGGGTCTCTCCGTAATTCATCCTGGAATTATACAAATCAGAAGTCAATTTTGGTGGTTGGAGAGAGGAACATCCAAAAATACTTTAATTGGCAATTTTATGGATTTGGCAATGTTACCTAAATCAGATTTTTCCTTTTGGAATTTTATAATCATTTATTGTCATTTCATTTATCATGACACAACTAAGTTGCATGATCAAAATCAAGATGACCAGATATTTTGTATAACTGGACAAACGATGGATCTTGTCAAAGGCATATATATAGCCATTGCTTTTATCATTTGTCTATTTGTTTTCATGAGGACCCTATGTATCTCAAGGACTAAAAAGATTTGTTGGATTTTTCTGTGGCCTTGAAATCAGATCTAAATGATCAATTTCCCTTTTAACAACTTGCTTTACACATAAATGGAATTGATGCGCAAAACTGGTCACATCAACCTTTGATAAAAGGATTGATCAGCGTACTTTCTCAAAGAGTACTTTAGCAATGTGAAATGTGATGGTCTCTAAGTCACAGTGTGCAGCATAATAATAACTCCTTGCCACTGTAAGAAACGTATGCTTGATATCTGGGTTGATGCCATCTGAGCAATGTTGCAGTACTGATTGAACAAGCTGTTGCATGTCGGACTCTATTTTCTGGCTTCTGCTGTTGCCCGTATCAGTATTATAGCACCCATTGTCATGTACCTGAAACAGTTTACAACAAATTGATGAGCAAAAGTTAAATGCATGAGACCTTTTTACTTTACATGGATTATATAGCTTAATTGTTTGACCTGGTGACAATTAACCCCATGCTTGGAATTACCTTAATTAATTGGTCAGTGGGCATTTTTTTTTTGTTTTGAAATCATCTATTCTCAAGACCATTAAATTACTCCGACACTTTTCCCATGCATATATAGCTCAATGAATCTGTTTTCACAAGTCCAAGTAACATCCATATACAAATTGTAATGTTTGGAACTAGTTTTTTATGGCCTTGAAGGTGGGTAGAAGTGCCTGCTTTCTTGCCTAGGATTTGGGGGAAAACCATAATGACTCAAAAGAAATTGACAAATAAATATATACTAATATACTAGAGTAGGTATAAAAGTAGAAGGAAGATGCTGAGAGAATGCAGCCAAGCGATTAGAAAGATTCCAGAGAGAAGCATTTCATTTGTCGAAGCTAGCTAGGTACAATCTTGGTTTCACGCAACTGACCTTTTGCTTTTGGTAGTGACAAAGCTGATGGCAAACTGTATTGGTGAGACTGGAGAGTCGCTCGTATTGAGGATGAGACAACAGCTCCTCCAAGGACCAACGGCCCGAGCTAAGATTTATCGTTTGCACCACTAACTCTGCTACTCCGTGGTGCCTGTCGCCTTCCTCTAGCCACATCAGCATCCACTTTTCCCACTGTTTTCTCTCCCAGAAGAAAAATAAAAACGAAATTAACACATTGGAATGAGTTCTTTGGTAGTTTCTGACAGCACGTAGCTGAAAGATTGACTCATGGGGCAGGGAACTTGGACAATCTGATTCACTCAAAAGATTTTACCTTTTGCATGTGAAATTTACTATAACGACAAATAAAAATATCATTACTTACAGCACGGCGAATGCTGCAGCTAATGTCTCGACCATGAGCCACAAGTGCATCCAATGATAGGTGGTTCAGGGTCCGAAGCAAAGTGTCTATCAGCTTCTGTACCCTCCTGTTTGAGTCCAACTTCCTGCAACAAAATCCACATGTAAACATCACTTTCCTTGTCAGGCTTTCTTGGACACAACAGATTGACCCGCACCACCTCAGCATCAATGGCTTACATTCAAGTATAATCTTTTTTTTTTTGTTGACTAGTACTTCCAGTACAAACAAAATTATTCTCGACACTTAAAAGAAACTATTTTTTTTTATTTTTATACACACCCGTATATATATTATTTTATTTTTCTAACCAATTGCAATAATTTCTTCCCATGTAAAGAAAGGCAAGAATTAAAATTGCTAAATAATGTAATTTAAAGCATAATCATCTTAAAGTAATTAACACTACTTAAGAACGATTCCAATTATCTCACATGCATGCGTCGACTGCGAAAGGCCATTTCATTTCACTAATTTTACAGCCAAGACTCAGAGTCAAAGACAAGTTTATGGTTTAGATTAGTTCAGGGATTTAATGAAATAATTTACCTTCCATTTATGTGGCTAAATCGTGCATCAACAACACTTCTGAAGACTTGGACAAATGCTTTTCTCTGCTCACTAGGTCTCATTTCATTGTCAAAAGAAGATGCGATGGCCTCAACCAAGAAGGCAGTCTTAGCCCATGCCAGCCGCTCTTGTGACCTTTCTGGCTCGAATATGCTGGCTGCTGCCATGAAATAAGTTAAGAGAAGAGATCTTCTGCTCACCCCAAAATCACCAAGATTCATTTCCGAGTACCACCTGCTCAAATCATAACATATATAACTCATTGCTATACATAACTATCTTGTTAATCAGGATGATTATCACACTGCATAAGATCAGGAAAAAGCAATCCTGTTTCGAAAAATTTGATAGCCGAATTAAAAAAAGTTGAGTTTATGTCAAAGCTATTCCTGGAGCGTATTGCGTTTGACTGAGTCTCCGATCCACTTTTCTGGGAATCATTGTCAGAAATTGAGCAACCGAGGACTCTATGATTGGGATGCTTACTTTTGTATACTATTCCATTCCATCTGATGTAAAGCTTGGCAATTATTGTAGTCTAGTTTTGCAAGCTCAAGGTACACATTGTTGTTCACATAACGCATCCTGCACCAAAAACTCATTAGAGAGTCAAATAACTATATATATATATATATATATCTATATTGCAGCAATTAATCTCTTAAGAATATATATTATATATATGTGTATAATTTCCCTTTTTTATATCATTCATACCTTAAAATATCAAACATACTCGTACAAGGTATAATTAAAATAAATTTTTTAAAAAAATGCATGAAATTAATCATCCCTAAAACTTATTATATAATTAGTAGTAGTTTTCTTTTTGGAATAAGATATATAAGAGGTTTTGTGGGGTTGAGTGATTGGCCAGCCAAAAAGCTGAGACAGGCATAGAATTCAATTGCTGCTCATGATTATGGTACGTGATCAGTGTACATGCTATGACGCAAATACAATATTAATGTAAAGAATGTATCTTGTTTCTTTAATCCAATTGGCAATCACAAAGATGAATCTTTTGAGACAATATGCTTTTAAGAATTTAAACAGAGAGCATGCACTCTAATAATGGCAACTAGGCACTTCCATCAAGGAAACACTCAACTATCTTGACAACTATAGTATTAAATCCATCTTCATGCCACACTGCATACAGACAAACAAGATATCTAAAACAATATTCGAATGGGTCCTTGTAGGCGGGCCAAGACAGCCAATATTATACTCCTTAATTATGCAGGCAACAAAGCCAACTGGGGTGTTAATCATGAGAATAGTGGCCAAAACCTTGGTACCAAGCTAGGTTCGACTTTGCAAGATGTCAAAGCTGACTGCTTTAAAAATTAAACACCAAGAAACAAAGTAAAAATTGACACGTAGTAAACTAAACAAAGAAAAGCAGGAGATCGCAACCTGCGGGAAAGAAATGATGGGATCCAAGACCATATCTAAATGTCATAATCTTTTACTTAATTAATTTTATGGAAGGATTATATCAAGGTTAACTCTTTTTAATCACTTCCCGTCTTAATATTCACCTCTTTTTGTTCATTACAAATAACAGTATTTAATTTTACTATATGATAAAGAAAAGGATAACCTACCTGTAAAGAGTCTTTCCAATCCATACGTCATCTTCGCCCCCATATTGCTCTATGTAAAATCTGGTTTCCACTCTAGGCAGGCTTGCATACCATGGAATCTTCAATGCGAACCCAACCTGTTAAGCAATTAGCATTTACAATTAAATTTAGGTATTTAATGATACCAGCTGTTAATTTCTCCATTATTGGACCAAATTAAGATTTAAGACTTACTCACTTTTGATTTAGCGTTGAAAGCTTGCTTGTTTTCTTTGGAGATGAACAAAATTATAAAAGCAAAGAACTTTTTAACTTGGCTTTCTTGTCATAAGCCCACTACCTATGTTGGTATGCTAGCTGCTCATAGTCATTACATTGTGCTCCATAACAAAATAAACTGTAAGTGCTATAGATTGTTTTAAGCGTAAGTGCTTTCAGTAATTTTACTGTTATTTTGATAATGACTCTTTCTAACTTTTTAAGTGGCAATGGTTTTTTTTCTTCTTCTTTAATGACTAGCTTATTTGGAAAACCGATGTGGCAAGACGTTCATTCTATGCTTGGTTGGTCGGGATGAAACGGGGCACTTGACAAGAGTTTGTCGCATTAGAGTAACCCTAACTAAAAAACACACACAATTGTGTGCGTGAAAGAAAACAAAAAGAGAAAACAGAGTAATGACTAAGGAGTAAAAGTAAGTCGAAGAGATCAGTAGGGAAAACCAATTTCAAAAAGTAGGCAATGCTAGGTGCCACTTGGATTGCAAAGGATTTTAATGGAATAAAAAAATGTTGCTTAATTGATAGAGAGGGTACGTTATCCCTCCCATCATCTAGCTAACTCAATATTAGATGCTATTAAAATATATATATAAATATATATATATATATATATACACACACATATATAACAGAAATTACTCATGATCCAAAATAAATATAATGACTAAATTTTCGATCCACTCTTAAATATCAAATCTACAACTTTGCAATATATATAATATATAGCATGAAATCATTAATTTATTTTTTTGATAATGGTGGCCAAGGTCAAAATTATCAGGTATATGCAGTTAAGTACACACATTGCCTTCAAAAATAGTTCAAGTTCAAATCCTTAATTTAAAAAAAAGGAGGGGAAGGGTTTAAGAAAATGAAGAAAGACTCTAGTGGCAATTAAAGGGAAAAAGAAACTAATATAATTAAATCGTTTGCAAAAGCCTGTTTTGTTAGTAATGTAGATAAATAAATGAATGTTGCCTGAGATATAGACTAAAATAACTAGCCAAGAAGAATCTAGCCTGAGCCTTTGATATAAAAAAATTGCAACCAAAAAGTAGGAAAGGCAAAGAATTTTCGACGGATGTATTACCTCACCAGGTAAGTCTTTGGTTATGATCCATTTGTCTAGAAGTTCATCAGCAGCTTGTTTTTCTGTTAAGAACTTGGATGAAAACCGCTTGGCATCCTCGAGAATCTTGTCTCCAGGGAACATCACCTGGGAAGCCCTGAACAGGTTGAAAATCCCGGTTACAGCTTGGTTAGACTGCCCAACAAAGCAGAAGAACTCGCCTCCTTTCTCAAAATGTCGGAAAACGTCTGTTACATATAAAATCCAATGTTCTTGTATTAAAAAGAAAAAAAAGAAAAGAAAACAAGCATGATACAGTCCATTTGCAGAGATAGGGGTCCTGAGGTTATACCAGCAGAAACCTCGTATCCATGTAGTCTAAGTAACCTGAACCCCATGGCCGTGTCGTCAATGTCTTGAACCCTAGTATTTCTGGCCCAAGAAATTCCATCTTCAGTCCAGTATCTGAAATTTGGGAAAGTTAATTTCCTTGATGTCTTAATTACTCGTATAAATAAGTGCATGATGGCCATACCTATACACATAGTCTAGGCATTCTTTAATTTCTGGCTGGAAATATCTTGAGATTCCAAGGCGTTGCAAGCGGTCGACAGTCCAAATGTGTTCGAACAGGTCAACCGGGTACACATTGGGGACTAAATCAAATGAGAATACGTACGCAAAATTAGGAAAGAAAATACATTTCGACAAGTGAAAGTAAGATTTCCAATAATGAATTGACAAAAGGCAGTACTTTTACCTCCCCCATTGAATCTTTGAACAGTTTTGTTTAAATATCTGTGACAATTCTCATCTTTAGTTTGCATGAGTGCGAAGGCAGTGGAGGATGGAGAGAACAAGAATGACCCATCTTGGCACTGTAACTTCAGAAGCTTTTCCCAGTCCAATCCTGGCATCCCCTCAAGGCTATGGAGTAGTGTTGTGGGCACATTCTGCATTATCTCTTTTGGTATCCTATCCCACACGCATAATTATTACATTACATACATGTAAAGATCATGACAAAGGGTCCTACACTTTTTAAAAACTACACAAGATAAGGCTACTTTTGAGTTTTACTTCATTTTAGCTTACAACATTTATCAAAAGAAACCAACATAATAATTGTGGAAGCTTGGGAATTTGAGTTGTTAGGAAACTACCTTGTGAGCTTTAGACTTCTCTTTGCATAGATGTCTTGAAAGACACGGGAATCATACGGTGCTTCAATGTTTAAACTTCTAGCTATTTCGAGAAGAGAAGGAAAAGCCACTTCAAAGCCGATAGGCATATGCTCCGCATTTTCATTTTCGAGTTTGCTTATGTTCTCTTTGAAAAATGACACTCCTATATCCATATATACATACATGTATTAAACCAAAAACAAGCCAAAAGCTGACGAAAAGGTTAGATTAAACCGAGTTAAAAACAAAAAGGTTAGGCAAAGCCCACTTAATGAAACTGTCTTTTTTGGTTTTATATAGCAAAATTTTACAATACCTTTCTCGCATTTGTCTGGATGAACATCCCATGTTTTCAACGCAACAACACATGCTAAAGTGTTGATCAATCGATCATGCGCCATAAAAATTTGTCTATCACCCCATGATCCATCAGGGAGCTGATTGTTTGCAATCCATTCAAGGCTAGAAGGAAACTGAGGAGTTCCGCCGCGGTTAACGTCTTCAACGAGAGCGGCCCAGGCTGTGTCATAAGCTGAGCTGCTTATCTCTCCATCCTCCATGGATCCCAACATGGATTTAATGGTGTCAACACGTTCCTTTATCTTATTCGATTCGAAAACCTTTGTGGACAAAGAACCAAAAAAAAAAAAAGAGCAAATCACATCACATCTCTATATAAAAATGGAACATCATGATTACTTTTCATCGGTCTTGTTCACTCACTGCTTATGATTATATATGAACAAAAAAAGGTTGGGGGCCTGTTGAATTTACCTTAAGAGCTTCCACTTCTTCTATGTCATCATCCACAATCTCCTTCCACTTTATCACTGGCAGACCGTTTTGTAACACGCCAGCATATTCTGCACATAAAACATTAATTACTTAGAATCAAAATGGTGATAAATGATAGTGATACAGAAAAAATCCAAAATCCAAGACGCAAAAATTGTTCAAATTGTAATTAAGTAAACATTGTACCTTGAGTGCGGGGTTTGGATATAGCACTGCATAGAGGACGAATATCAAAGTTTTCACCTTTGTCTTTTCCCCATAACCGCAAATTGCCTATAATTAAATTAAAATAATTAGATTTACTATAATAAATCCACTTTTTTACCTGAGGTGATTAGTAATTTATGAACTTTTGACCCAAGCATAAAACAAAGATAGGCAAAGAAAATGCTATACAAAATAACAAACATTAGGGTCTCCTGAATAGTGAAAATGGACATCATGTTGCTATGAGATAACAATTTTAAAAGCAATGTCCCACAAATATAGTTTTAGAACTTGCTATTGAACTGTTTTAACGCCATTCTTTGGGAAGTAAAAATAAGAACTAAAAGCAAACAACAATTATAGATCAATTCTTTTTTTGGAAAAAAAAAAGGTTTCTGAATAATTCATATTACTCTTTACTTAACAACAAGAGGGTGAAAAAAACAGAAAAAGAACAGAGAGAGAGAAGAGAACGTAATCAATGTCTTTGTCCCTCCTGCAGAAACAATATCAATTGCATGTCGATTTCTGATCAAAGAGAAATAATCTGGCTTTGCATGCTGGTTTTTCACTCCGAAAATTCAAAGTAAAAGATGATCAATCAATCACTATGAAATTCCTGAGCGTTTTCCCCCGTTTTCTTTTAATGTGTGTTATCCCATATATATATATATATATGAGAACGTTTTTCAGAGAAGAAAGATCTGATTGACGACCATATCGCAAAACCAAAAGGCAAAAAGAGAAAAAGGAAAAGAAACAGATAATAAAAAACAAAGGACTAGCTGGTAAGAGTTCTTTTCTCTCTCCACACATGTCTGCAACCGTGATTCCTAACATTAAGAACAACAGAAAAAAGAAGAAAGAATACAAAGTGAAAGTGATCAAATATGTTGGAAAACATACCTGCAAATGGTATGGGAGGATGTTTGTCGGAGAAGGAAATAGAAGAATAAGGAATCGGAGAGAAGCCTGTGAGAAAGGGCTGGTGGATAGAATGGGAAGACATGTTTTGTTTTGCTGCGAAGAGGATATGGTGGCAAAAGACAAGTATCAATACACAGACACAGCATTTAAAAGTATAGAGAAAGAAGGCAAGCAGACAGAACCGACTTCTCAAGAGATTCCCGCTAATAGGTGCATGGGATCATCCAAATCCATGGAATTGAGGGCAGTCCTGTCCTTTTCCTCTATCTCTCTCTTTCTAACTCTCCCCTTCTTCGCGACTCTCTACTCTGTCTCACTGCTTCCTTTTCTTTGTTGGTGAGCAATACTGATATATATATGCTCTGTGATATGCATAATATGTTTTATGTATTTATAGTTATATTTATAGATTTTTCCTTTATGGTATATGGCAAAGATATAAGATTCTATTTAATTATAAAATCTCGATGTTCAAAGAATCGAGAAGCGGTTGCTTCACAAAATGTTGAAATTCCCCCTCCCCCGCTGCGTTTTATATTTACTCTTTTTCTTATTATTTTTTACTACATTTTCCATATGCTTCAATCAAAAACTTATTCCCACCTTAGTTTCCTTGTATAATTTTCGATCATATTTTCCTTTGTAAGCAAAATTTTCAACCTCTTATGTATCACGCGAACAAACCAAGTATTTTATCATACAACGTATGAAACCTAGTGCGGAAATTGAACCAGAATGATTTTGAGGTTGTAATTTGAATCATCCTGTTTCTAAGAATGGTAAGAAAAAAGATTTTGTTAAATTTTTAAATAGTTGAGTTGTAATCAAGAACAGATGTACTTTCCATTTGAGCTAAATTGCCAGCAAGAAATAACATAACAATTAACTTTTTGACCCAGGTAAAGTTGTGCCACCATATTTGTAGCAACCAAATATGGATAAAAAGAAATTAAATCCTCTGTCCCATTTCCTATCCTATTTCATGTTTTAACTCTCACAAATTATCACGTGTCTATTTTTTTTATTATTGAATTAATTAATACGTATATCAAACATCTCCAATCTTGTGGCCAAACAAGATGAGAATCTCTAGGACCTTGATCAGCTTGGCTAATATTGAAGCAAATAACTTTTCAATCCTTAAGATTTAGTTATTCTTGGTTCTGATAATTATGGATGTGACTTCTTGGCTAATAATATCCATTCTTCCCCATACTTTTCGCAGTCGATCGGAATCATGGTGTATACTCTGCACTACTAATTGCTGTTGTAGTGAAAGCATATCTTGGGTGAAAGTTAGTCATGTCTCTTTGAGTAACTTCCAACCATGGTAGGAGAATTAAATTAAAAAGAAAAAAAATTAAAACCAAACATATTTTAGCTCAATAATAATAAAAAAATAGACATATGGCATTTGTGAAAGTTAAGGTATATAATGGGGTAGGAAATGGGAATAGAGGATTCAGGTTTGGTTGAAGAAAAATCCATTAGGGATGGCTCCAAGATAATTCCAAATTTATTACTTTCTAATTGTATAAGATTTTATGCAAATGAAGAATCATACTTTCTTTCATTTTGAGAACAAAATTTGAATCCACTTTTTTAACGAAAAAATATATGTCAACTATCATTTAAAAGCATCATCGAATCAAATGTTTAAGTGCGAAAAATCATAACATTTGAAAGAGTGTATTCATTCTCAAAACTTTTCGTGTAGTGGAAATTTCTGTTAATATACCGTTCACTTGCCTATACCAAAATTAATGTCACTTTAAGTCTTCTGCTCAAGACTTGTTATGGCACATTGAGTAATGAATGAATAAAAAAAAATTACTTTTCAAAAAAATTGATAATACTAAAATTATAAAGATTGAGTATTTTGGTAATAAAGATGTAAATCAATTATATGTATAGCTGTAATTTACTAATTAAAAACCTACGTGCATAAATGTAAGAATCAAAATTTTTATACATTTTCTCATTAATAAAATTTTAAGTTTTGCCTTTCAAAAAATGTAAGAACCAATTGTGCGGGCTTTGTCCATTGGTCCGTATGATTTTCTCTCTAACTGGGGATTGTATCATGGGTGCAGGACGCAATTGGAATTTCACTATCACTCTCTTAACATATATAACCAACCAACCAATAAGCATGCATCTCTGTCTATAATTTGCTTATAAAACCTGTAATCTCTTACTCTCTTTAAAAATAATAATAATAAGAGGAAAAGAACTAATCTCCTTTAATAATTAAGTTGGACTTGTTAACAATTCTCATTAATAAGAGAATACGTACACCTATTATTGAATTAAATGTTTAAATATTATTTAAATATAATTTTTAAATTTTAATATTTGAAATAAAATTTTTTTAAAAATATTCTTATGTGCATGCAGAGAGCTCTGTGAAGGCACTTTTTTTTCAATGTTAGTTGAGATGGAAAATCATGACAATTATTAGGATGGATTATAATCAAATAGTACTATTTAAATTGAATTGACTAATTGAACCAAAAAATATGAATTGAAAGGAATTACGTATGGGTTTTCTTTTCTTATATTTTGTATCCAAGGAATACATAGTGAAGATATACTCCAAAGATCCTCTCTATTCTCCAATGTTTTAAGATTTAATAAAAGTGAACCTCCTGTTGAAGAAATTAGTAAGAGAAATTTGCGTGAAGCAAAGGAAACAGTACAGGTGCTTTGAATTAGGTGCCGTGCAATTTAGAATCCTAACTCCTAATAAGGCATGTGAATCAGACTTCATTAATGTAATTTAAGGGTATCAACGTGCCACGTCAGTGATTTAATTAGAAAATTATTGCTTCTTCTTCTTTTTTATTTTAATAATGGAAGAAAAAATGTGGGAATCTTTATTGCATGTAACAATTTATTCGTTTAATTGTCGTACTGCCGCAGCTCTCTTGAGAAGTATATCCGACTATATTACAGCAATGTCGTAATCAGTTTGCACTACCGATCATGACAAAATTCAGCAGTTTGCAGACAATCAAAAAAGGACAGAAAATTTATATAGGAAACCACTTAGACACAAGGAATTTTTTTTTTTAATTTAGTTTATAAGATAATGGATTTTATGGTTGTTAGTTTCCCACCGAAATTCCATCGTATATCATGATGGAAATGGCGCTGAAAGATCCTTCTCCAAACATTTTCTTGTCATTGGTTGAAACGCTGGTTAGAGTTTTTTAGATGCCACGGTTTTTTGTTAGGGAAGCTTTATTGGTAAAAGGTATAACGATAAATTATGATAAAATTTTTGTAAAAAACTTTATTCCTATTATAAAATAAATATGAAAAAATAACTGTAAGAGAAAGCATTTAGAGGAAGTAAGAAGATCTTATTTAAGTGTGTATTTTCAAATGAAGTGAAGAGGTCTATTTATAAATTAGTAACTCCTTATCTAGATTGAATTTATGAGATGAAGATAATACTTAGAGATTAAATGGATTAATTTTAATCCAATCTAATTTACATCAAATCTAGATATAGGTAATATAAATAGATATTCACAAAAATATTTAGAACACTTCTTCTTGAATATCCATTATATTAAGAATATACCTCTTTAAAACCTTATTAGAAAAAAACCTCATGGGAAGAAAAAAAATCAAAGTGAAAGAAAAATAATACATAATCTTTTCAAGAATATGCTTTTAAAATACCGTATCATTAAAAAACTTATAAAAAAACCCAATTAAAAAACCTTCATAAAGGAAAAGAGTACAATACGTATTTTACTCGTCATGATGACTATATTATAAAGATCGTTAAAATGATGCATTCCAATATTTTATACCAACTTTTCAAATGCTGTAGTAAAAAGGGTTTTAGTGAACAAATCTATTAGATTGTCACTTGACTGAATTTGTTAAACACTAATTTCACCATTTTCTTGAAGATCATGAATGAAGAAGAATTTTGACGAACTATGTGTTTTGTTCAATCGCCTTTAATATATCATTTCTTTAACTGTATTATGCAAATAGTATTATCTTCATATAATATTGTTGAAATTTTCTTCTTGGTTGACAAGTTACACGTTTCTTGAATATTTTGAGTTACAGATCTTAACCGGACACATTCACTACTTGTTCATGAGTTGTTAAAATTTCTATATGGTTAGAAGAAAAAGCAACTATAGTTTGCTTTATAGAATGCCATGAAATAGCCATATCTCTATATGTGAATAAGTACCTGTCTAGGATCGAGCTTTGTGTGGATCAGATAAATATTCTGCTTCTACATAGCCAATTAAATTTTATTTTGATGCATTTGAATAATATAAGTTTATATCCATTGCTTAATTCCACTCTAATGTCTTCAAGTTGGAGAAGAACTATATCTTGCTAATAAGTTACAAAAAATGATATATTAAATCATATATTACTAGCAAGATACATTAGTGTTTCAATTTCAATAAGATATGGTACTTTAGAACCAAAAAATTCTTTATTATTCTCACGAGGTCAAAAAATGTCTTTTTTTCATATCTCATGACCTCACAATCATTGGTGAACTCAATGGATATACTTTATCCATATAAAATTATTTCAGCATTTTTGCTATATAATTCAATTGACGAACAAAAATTCTATTTGTCAAGTATTCAACCTAAAGATCCAAACAAAACATTATTTTTCCAAGGTCTTTAACCTAAAATTCTTTCTTTAAGTAATCCACGATTTTTGATAATTCTTCAAGAGTTCCAATAATGTTCAAGTCATAAACATAAATAGCAATTATAATAAATTTATATGTAAACCCTCTTATAAAATACATGGGCATATAGGATTATTTCTATAATTTTCTTTCAACAAATATGTACTAAAGTGATTATACCACATGTGTCTAGATTGCTTGAATCCATATGCAGATTTATTTAATTTAATTGAGTAAATTTCTTGAGAATTCAAATTTTTATGCTTTAGGCAATTTAAATCCTTCTGAGTTTTTCATATAGATATCGATGTCAAATAAGCCAGATAAATAGGTTGTAGTTACATTCATTAGATGCATTTCGATCCTCTCATATATTGCCACACTATTTAATATAGAATTGTAATTGCATCTACCATAAAGGATATATAACTTCATATTTAGTATTAGATCTTTAAGTAAAACCTTGTGCAAATCTTATTTTTCTCATTTTGCATTTGCACAAATATCCATTTATATTCCATTGGTTTAACACTATTTGATGTACAGATTACAAGTCCAAAAACTTCATATTTTGCAATAAATTCAACTCTTCCTTAATTGTGTCTTTCCACATTGGCCAATTATTTCTATGTCTACATTCTTCAATAAATAAAAGTTCAAGATTCTCATTT